AATAAGATTTCATTTTACTGGATCACGCATAGAATTTAGTTATATTGTAATTATGAATCGATATTATCTTTGTTGAATCAGCTATTAGAAACTTGGAAGCACTAGACGGCCGTATCGTTTCGCCAGAGCGAAGGTCGATTCCCACATGTGGGTGTCGTGGATGTGGACTGAGAATGAAATGGAGGTTTGTGTTTTTACACATTTGAACACATCAATCAATCACTGTTAGACCACCACCATTAGAAGCCTGGAAGCATTGAAAGACGGCCGCTTCGTCCTGGTATGGGACTCATCAGCAGTGGCAGTGAGCATTGACGACTCCTCCTGCACCTCGCAGGATTCGAACCCTTCGGTATTGTGCGCAAATGCCTAACCATTGAACCGCTGTACCGGCCGGCATCCAACGGTGTTAATGTCTAACTCTGATTGATCTACGGATTTTTGCGCGACCTCACCCATTTGTCTTTGTTAGTTACTGCCTACACCCGACAGGGTTCAACTCCATTGGTCACAATGTCTTCTCAACTAGAATATTACAGTTTAATAAACTAGAACTGATACCGGAGATGATGATTCAATCATTACTAGTTCACAATACACACTCGCTTTTATTTTCCACACACCATTTTTATAAACCACAATTCTAGGCATTGAAAAAAAATACCTACACATCACGTGTGTCAATTAGATCACGTGATCCACTCTTACTCTCACAGGTGTATATTTATTTGTCTGAGTAAAGAATGATAAGCTCTGACTAATAATTATCAACCATATGATAAGTGTAGATATATGTATTTATATATATTTAGTAATATTATTATCAGTGTTATCCTTTACACGTATATCAAAGTGTCACCGAACTCACACACACGTGTTTCACCTTATCAGTGAAAAAAAGTATTATCTCTCCAACACACGCACGCACACACACACACCAAGCGAGCATGGTTTTTTTTATCGCATTGATAACTATGAATTACACATTTGAAATCATTAATCAATCATCATTGTTAGACCACCATTAGAAACCTGGAAGCACTGGACTAACTATGAATTAGTTAGTAAGTAACATAATTGTTTACACATGTTCTGGTTTTCGAAATTCCAAATGATATATTTCCACACACACGCACACACACATACACATAAAAAGATCATGTGGATCAGATTTAGGGCATGAATATATGATTACTGTTCTCTGGCCTATTGTTGCGCATAGAATATATTTATCTCTGTTTAAGCTTATATGTCAAACTTACATTGATGAATATTGCTAATTAAGGAGCATGAATAAATAAGTTTATGATGAGTGAATGGGTTGATTATGTACATGTACAAACAATTTTTAATTTAAGCTGAGAAGAGATTAAACTATATGATATTAGGTTATTTGGTATGGAGAGTTTGAAAGTTTGTCGTATGGACTGTAGTTGATCAGAGTATCAGGACAGATTACCTTGATATAATCAATAGGGGTCACAAGGATTATAAGCAGAGAGAGAGAGATGATGGGTTAGCTTGTGGTAGTGTCTCGTTCTTCAGGCTGGCTATTTTGGTTGTGAAGCTTTCATTGTTCTTCTGCAGAACATTATCGGTACACACTTCAAATAGAAAGTGAAGTATTTGAATTTCTTCAGATTTTCTCGTACCATATAATGACAGTTAGCGATGGAAGCCAGGATGTATGTATCATCGTATTTGGGACTGAGGAGGATTGGAACTACAGCACAAACTAGTGGCTATTTTGGACTCAATAGGTAAGTAGATAGATAACTTAAGGGAGTTAGGAATCGTAAGATGTTGGATCCAAGTATTGGAATGAACCTGAACGCCAGGTTGCATGTACATCCCCAGCTGACGAGTCTCAAGTTGGAACAAACGCGCGGCGCGTCGTAGATTTCATTAGTGACCATTATTCATCTGAGTGATATAAAATGTTATTGATTATTGGTCTAAGACCCGATGAGCAAATAAAGACTGTCGGAATTAATATCCATGTAATCGTAATCAGTTAGTCGAATTAACTTGAATAAATAAATGTATATTCTGTATTTTCCCCTGTGGATTTTGAGCTTAAGTATGATTGCAAATCATTTTGATTTATGTATTGACTAACTCTTTTGTTACACTCATCTCTAGGTATGCTTAAAACTATTAAGGGGTTTACCTTAGTCGAATAACGAGAACAAAACAATCAACCAGCGTCCAGGTAGGCTACTCTGATCCGATTGACCCAAATGTACTAGCAAGAATTATTGATATAGCGTAGGAAGTGTATTCTACAAACACCCAGTCAGTACACAATGCAATCAAGCACACAAATCGCGTTTATTTATACTCCATAGAGATGTCCTTGGGAGAGTCACAAAAAATAGCACACTAAAATGACACAGTAACCACCAATCACAGCCAACGATTCTCTTGGTGGGAAATGTAAAATCTCAAGGTCAACTGGTCTGCACATGAATAAAATCTAAGAAAAGGACATTTATCAAGCGAGTTCTGAGGATCTAACATCCCCAACACCTTTTTTTTAATGATGATTGTGGTACTAACATAATTTCTATTCGTTTGTGATTATTTTTTATGTTATCCTGATTCCACCGATTCGACAATAGTCCAAGATTTTACATTGATTGATAACTAACTAATTAATTGAATACCTTACTGGACTGACACATTTGCTTCTATACGATAAATTATGCTTTATTAAAACCATATTTATAGATAGGAAACTAGAGGTTGTATTTCATGAATTCATCATGGTGAGAGCATCATTAGAAGTCTAGGAGTGTGGCGCGAGCTACTTATAAGTAGTATATGACGTGAGTGTCAACGTAATGGCTGGCAGCAGAAGATGGGGGAAGATCAAGAAAGGAAGAGTGGGAACACAATGGAATTTGTAAGAAACGCATGAATAGTGACAATGGATTGATGTTTTACAACAGCAACAGTCCAGTTCGATATGATGGACTGATATTTTGCAAATGAACGATTTACGATATGGTTATCCGATTTTACTGAGTAACTCTGTAATTTGAGATAGATACGCTTGGGTTGCCCTCACATGTATTCTCCTTCACTACAGGAGGACGTCTTAGTATGGGACACTACAGCTATGCGCGTCCACGACACACACGCTCTAGAATCAAACCAAAGACATTCGGTCTCCAGTGTGATAATCAAACTAAGGACCATCATTCTCGAACACAGATGCATAGCCTCTAAACCACAATGAGCCAGTATCCGACGGTGTTAATATCTTACTTCAATCAATCCAAGGTATTACTCAACTTCTTTCATTGTATGTGGTCGGTTAGTGACTACACCGGATAAGGTTGAACAATGATCAATTCATAATTTTCGTTGAAAATATGTCTCATTTTAAAAAAAACCTTATGTTATGAACATAATTATCAACAAGAAACTAGATATTCTATAGCCTAGTTGTGTGTAATTCCATGAAGGAAATTTACACTGATAAATCATTTCACGAATCTATCAACTATTTCATTTTATTTTCAACTGTTTATGTCTTTTTCTGTAACGTATACTATAACTACATTTTAATCTGTCTACATTTTCGACTTCATCCAAATGAGTGATTTAGATGACAGACAGACAGACAGATACAACGCAGAACTTTGTACGAAAGTACATCAGTTCACGTTGCCATGCTCCATCAGCACAGAGACGCAACTGTCAGTTCAAATCCAACAGTGATAGCAATAATAGATGTAATGGAGCATTAATGGAGAAGATTAGGGAGCGAAGATATGATTCGAGAAGTATAATTCAGTGAGATAAATTTAGAAGGAGAAAGGTAGAGACTATGAGGAATGAAGAAAGTTAGAATTTGAGAGAACACAAAGAGTGGATGCACCTGTGCCATTACAAACGATTCTGAGCCATGTCATTCAAGGTCTTTAACTATCGGTGACTATCGTCTCGCAGACCCCAACCAGGTAGTCTACATCTACCAACATGACTCAGTCCACTTGTCATTGACTTCATGGATTTTGACATGTTTTGTTTTGGCCGCCCCTATCTCTCTTCCAATCTACTCATACACCACAAAACATAGCTCGTCGAGGCAGTCGGTGGTTAGGCATACGCAACACATGTCCCAACCACCTCAACTGATGAAGCTTCACTACTTCATCTTTTGATTTGCCATCCCTACCTAGAACTCGTTTCCTAACGACAGCATTGCTTACTGTGTTGTCCCATGATACACGAGCAATGCTTCGGATACACCGATGATCGAAGACTAGCAACCTAAGAAAGTCCTCTACTCTTAACGGCTATGTTTCGCATCCGTATAGTAGGACAGATCGAACTGCTGCACAGTACACTCGTCCTTTGGTTAGCAAGCGGATATCTCGCCTGCGCCATAGGTGACGCAGGTTGGCAAAAGCCACTCAAGCTTTCTGTATCCGAGCTGAGATTTCGTCAGTCACCATGCCATCGGCACTGATGAGACTCCCAAGATAAGTGAAGTGGTCTACACGTTCGACTACTTCACTCCCTATCACTAGTTCAGGTGCCGATGCAACCCAATCTTGAAGCAACATTTTGCATTTCGCGGGGGGAAACAGAGACCGGAACAGGCTTGCACTGTTGCTTAGGGTGGTAAGAAGACTCTGCATTTTGTCAGCGTCTTCACCAAGTAGAACTATGTCATTGGTATATTCTAAGTCGATAAGCGAGCCTCCTGATGTGATATAAATTGGTCGAATGGAATATGTAACTGTCAATCTATAACTTACAATTAAATAACCGTAACTTGAATTCAGTTCAAAGTGAGTGATTTAGATGAATTCACTTTGAACTGAATCCAAGTTACGGTTATTTAATTGTAAGTTGTATGCTGATAATTACATCTTTACTGAATATTCCATTCGACCAATTTATGTCACAACGTCAGTCTAGGTAGTCGATTGAACGTAGTCGGAATGAAACTAACTCATGAAACAGATTATATATACAGTTAGGCAATGATTTGCAATCTAGAAAGAGTTGAAAATTTCTTGCAAGATTTAAAATCTGGTCAGTGAGTTTCACAGATTGAATCAATGCCCTTGAACTAGCCACGAATGGTCTTCGACAAGTGTTTTATTCGTGATATTTATGACAACAGCTGTGTACCAGTGAACGGAAGCTATAATTAGCAACGCAACAAGAAGTTGAAGCTAAGCTATTGATTTGTTCTCCAGTCCGACAGACTAAAGAAACCGAGAGTCAGCAGGAAATGCATATAATTCCACATTACAAAATGTCTTTGAAAAGTATCACAAACACAGAGTACTAAAAGTTGGAAGGAACCGATGATCTTTGAGATCCTTCCATGTGGAGAACATAAACTACGCTTTTGACGTCAAAAATGCGAAATTCACCATTCCCTAACAGAGCCAGTTTAAAATATTTTCAATTGCTGGGTGGATTACTGATTATTGACCGAAAAGAAATGTCTTTCCAATCTTTTAGTGCAAATTGAATTCCATGGACCAAGTTGTACTGTTTGATTGATTTCAACTTACTATTAGTATGGTAGGGATGCTGGATCAATCAAGATGATAAACTATAACGATGATGTTACATCATGACTCTACCTAGGAATGGTTGGTTTAATCTTCGATCATTCTAATGTTTTGAATAAGATGACGAACTGTGATCTTATTTGAACAACCATGAAAAACACGAATACATGATATAGTTGTTTCTTTGTAATATGAGACTCTTCTACAACTCAACTCAAATCCATAACTGTATAGCCGTGTAGATCCGAATCAGCATTTTCGGTTTCATAGTGATTTCTTGACCACTGATGAGAATCCATTCGCTTCTTGAAAATTATGTATAATTCCGATTGCAGTACTTACTTATTTACTGGCTTACACCTGGAGGTTAGGCTGCCGACCAGCAGTCCCTAACATACTCTGTCCTGGGTCTTCCTTTCCACATCTACCCAATTGCTGTTCATTCTTTTCATGTCTGTCTCCAATGCTCCGCATAATATGCACTTTGATCTTCCTCTTATCTTGGTGCAGAGTTTTGGAGGTTTGTGTTTTTTACACATTTGAAATCATTGTTAGGCCACCATTAGAAACCTGGGCGCACTGGACGGCCGTTTCGTCCTGTTATGGGACTCACCAGTAGCGAGGAGCAGGAGTCGTGGATGCGCACTGCCACTGATGACTTCCTCTTATCCTACCTATTTCCCTGACAATTCCTAGTTAAAACTTATCTTGAATGCTTTCTTCATAGTGTGTCCTATCCTTTTTCAATGCTTCTTCCTAATTTCTTCATCAGTTGGAATTTAGTTTATTCTCTGCCACAGTAGGTTGTTATCGATTTAATCTGACCAATGGATCTGCCTTATCTCGCGTAGATAACTGTTAATCAACACCTGTATCTTATGGATGATAGCTTTCATGGTTCTCTCAATTCCCACTCCATACAATAGCAGGGTTGTATTGAAAATGGTGACTTTGGTGTTGGTTGACAGCTATCTTGAGTTCCAAATGTTGTTCAATTGTAAAAAAACACTTTCATTGCTTTGCTAATTCGTGTTTTTGCATCGGCTACAGATTGCCACTACTCATCAAAGATGCTGCCCAGTTATTTTAAAGGTTTCTACATCTTCCATAGCTTCTTCATCAAGCTGTTATCTTCTAGAGAATCTAGTTTTATCCCTTAGGTATGGCTGCAATTGTCAAAAAAATATGTCTCTTTCAATAACCGAACACTGAATGAATATTCAGTCATAATGTCAATAATTATACCAGTATAATAGAGCATGTACAATATTGATACCCTTTTTTTTGTTGAACAGATTGTGAATATTCATTTCTCAGTTCATGTATGTCTGTCTATCTATTTTTTTTTTGTCCGCAAATACGCCTACCCCAAAAAAAAAACGCTTATTGTTGTGTGGTTCGTGTCAAACTTTTCTTCTATTTTTTTCTTCTAATTCCAATGTCAAAAGTTAATGAAATCTCGTCTCAACATCAATCTATTCACATCCATCCCATTAAGAAACTCTTTGATTGTGTGTGTTTTTTGGAGATTTCAAATACTCAAACTCTATATGAGCGTGTTAAGTTCTCATGATATCACACACACACACCCACACCACTCACACCATGCTCAATATCTTTCCTATTTTTTTGCCCCAGTGACGCATTATCAAAACACATTATTGTGAAATTCGCCAATTCGCCCCTTCCGTCCACCACCACCACCTAGTTTATACCATATGTTTTTTTTTATTTTCGATAATAATGTCACACCTTGTGAGTGTGTATACACACGTATGCTTGCCACAGTGTATGCGTGTGTCTGTCTGTCCATCCCTAGTTCAAAAGCGGATGAACAAATTAATGATACTCACAGAAAAAAACACACACAGACACACAAACACGCAAAATATGGGAGAAATGAAGAACAGGAAAGAGAGAAAAAAAGATGTTAACGAGAGGCAGAAAAAGCTGGTAACACACACAATAAACAAGGTGAAATAGAAAAAAAATAATGAAGTGTGTGTGTGTGTATATATACACATGATAAATAAAAGGAATACTGAATGCGATAGCTAGAGAGCGAGAGAGAGGGAGAGCGAGCGAGAAGACAAGTTCACCGATGACAAACGAAAGTGGATTAAGAAAAAAACAGAAGAAAAGCGCGCGCGAGGGAGAAGAGAGCAAACAATAGGAACGACGCCTTTAAATTCTTCTTCCAGTAAATTGTCATTGTCACCAGTATATATCTATTTTTTTTATCGTACCTGTTTTTATATTTCTTCTTATTCCTCAATTGATGGCGTCAAGCGTCAAGTTTTGAACTTGTCAAAATGTTCAAATTTTCAAATATGGTCAATTGTTGTTGTTACTGTTTTTTTGCAAAATAACAACTATAAGATAATTTACTTGTGATAAATGTCGCCTTAAAATGCGTGTGTGTGTGTATAGTTAGAGTATCATGTTGTTAATAATAATAATAATAATAATAATAATAATAATAATAATAATAATAATAATAATAATAATAATAATAATAATAATAGTGAAATATGATATCAGTTAGATACTTTTAAGGGAAAAAGTGACTGGTGCGTAAGTTCAAGTGTAACTAAATACTAGCGTGTACGTATGTGTGTGTTTGTGTGTGAGTATACAAGTGACTATGTTTGTATGCAAGTTGAGAATTCATGTCAAAGTTAACAACACTGGTCATAGGTTAATGGGAAATTTGTGGCGTTTCATCACGAAATGACCCCCAATCATTGAAAACTAGAAAATATTGGATCTTTGGTTGGTCCTTGTTGTATGTATGATATTTGGCTATTTGTAAGTTGGCTTATAAGTAAGTAGTATGCAGTGAATTGTCGGCCAGAAGTCACTACTGAAGATGAATACATGATGTATAACGTGATCAAAATGTTCTGAAGACTGGAAGACTGTGGTGGTGTTTCGTTCTCTGAGCTGGTTGTTTTGGTTGTGGAGCTTTCATTGTTCTTCTGAACAACATCATCAGCACAAACTTCAGATAGAAGTGAAGACTAACAGAAGACGACAGCCAAATGATCGGGTTGTTTTGTAAATGGAATTCTGAAGATAAAGTGTACACATTTTGATAGTAAACTATGATGTTATCTTTACAGAGATCACTTATTTCCTGATGGTGTTAATGTGTTCATTCATTCATAACACGTGTATAGGAGTCTTTAGTAGTGTAAATCAATGACTCAACCAGCAAGCAGTGCCTAGTGACTAGACCAATGAATCAGCACCTAAAAGGTTTATATTTCTCATTTTCGATTAGTTCATTTATTATTAAGTAACGATTTTCAAATCCCATAGGTGGGTAAGTGGTGTATAACCATTGTGTTCCCACTCTTCTTCCTTTCTAGATCTCCCTCCATCTTCTGCTGCCAGATTTTACGTTTTTACTCGCGTCATATACTACTTATAAGTAGCGCGCACTATAACAAATATCACTAAAGAACTTTGCTAAGAATAAAAATTATCTAATAGAATTTTGATACTGATTAGTTCACAATGCAAAAAAACAAACTTGTCACGAACATATATTACTTTTTAACAGAGTTTTTTTACTGGAAAAAACTTTATTGTTAGTTTCTGAACAAGTATCTTTTCATAGAAGAGAATAGTTTTATTTCTTATATTAACAATAAATGTAGAATCTTCATTGAAATCGTGAGTCGATCATTGTTAGACCATCATTAGAAATGTACAATCACTGGATGGCCGTCTCATTCTAGTATGGGACTTACCAGCAGTATGAATACATGACCCCGCAAGCGGGAATCGGATCCAGGATCTTCGTTCTCTAGACCACGGTATTCATTTCTAACCTCAGTTAGTCAACGATATTGCACAAACTTAACCATTGTCTACGGTGTGTAACCGCCTCACACCCGATGGTGTTGAACTCCATTGGTTACGGTTTCTCATTAAAACTCCGAGACTTTCTTCACTAAGCTAATCATTAAAGAGCAAACTTTTGTCATCGAGTTGCGGAGATCGTTGCGTTTCATCGAAATCATGAATTGATCATTGTTAGACCGCCATTAGAAACCTGAAAGCACTGGGTTGACTGAAATTAGACACTCACCATACTATTGGATATCAGCTCATTGGTTCAAAGGTTAAATATTTACGTGCTATACAAACCTTTCCAGGTTTGATTCTCACGTACGGCTGCCGTGGATGTGCACCACTGATGAATCCCATATTAGGATGAAACGGCCGGCCAATACCATCAAGTTTCTAATGATAGTCTGCCAATGATCGAATCATAATTTCGATTTAATCAATACTAATAATCATTCACATCTTATGATGACAGTAAAGATTTATAGTTTAGTCGAATAAAACATTTACACATTGATATCCATTGTTGCTGCTAATCAGTTATGAAGAAACTATTCTCATTTACTTGTCTATAAAGTTTATATGTACTGAATCGATTGTAAGATCCACCTTTTTGAAGGCTTGGTTTTTTTGAAAATCCTTCCATGTATATATTTATCAATCAATCGTAATGATTCCTTCAGTTGTATATTTTGTTAATCTGTTCGATTCCATTTTGAGGTGGTGATAATATTTGTATTTTATTATTATAGTTTCTATTTCTTGTTATACCTTCACTGAGTTTCTATGTTTCTTTCTGAACTGCACTGATGTTGTCTAAGTTGATACTTAGTCATGGCGACAACCATATTGATTTATTTCTCTTTTGATTGTGTTGCTTGCACGGACTGGAATTGTGCATTCTGTTTGTTCAACTGCGTAAAACCAAAGTGCTGCTCATCATTAAGAAAAAATACAACAACAATACGTTGTTTATATCAGTGAGCATTGATCAAAATAGCAATCCGTGCTGATAGGAATTTTTTCGATATTCTGATTGTAAACAACTGAACGTTGGCCAGACATTATCTGTAATAACTTACTGTGGGGTAGAACAAATTAGATTCCAGTGGAGGAGGAAATCAGGAAGAAGTGTTGGTGGAAGTGGATAGGACACACATTACGAAAAGCACCTAGCTGCGTCACGAGACAAGCCCTCACATGGAACCCTCAAGGTAAAAGGAAAAGAGGAAGGCCAAGGAACACATTACGCCGAGAAATAGAGAAAGATATGAGAGGAATGAACAAACATTGGACAGAACTGGAGAACTGGATAGAACACACATTGATGAAAGCATCCAACTGCGTCACAAGACAAGCCCTCACTTGGAATCCTCAAGGCCAAAGGAAAGGAGGAGGAAGGTCAAGGAAGACAAGGAAGAAGTCGAGAAATGGAGACACAGACATGAGAAGAATGAATAAAAATTCGACAGAACTGGAGAGGGAAGCCCTTTTACAGAGTAGGTTGGAGAATACTGCTAGTCGACGGCCTATGCTCCATTAGGGGCGGGGGGTTAACAAGCGTAAGTAAACAAGTTAACAAATAGCAAATAACTCGTGAAATATAATGAAATGAATTCGTCTTATTCTATAACGGGTATCGTATCCTACTTTACTTACTTACTTACGCCTGTTACCCCCAATCGAGCATAGGCCGCCCACCAGCGGCATTCTCCAACCAACTCTGTCCTGGGCTTCCCTATCCAGTTCTGTCCAATGTTTGTTCATTCCTCTCATATCTTTCTCTATTTCTCGGCGTAATGTGTTCCTTGGCCTTCCTCTTTTCCTTTTGCCTTGAGGGTTCCATGTGAGGGCTTGTCTCGTGACGCAGTTATTAGTGCTTTTCATAGTGTGTGTCCTATCCACTTCAACCGCTTCTTCCTCATTTCCTCCTCCACTGGAATCTGGTTTGTTTTCTCCCACATCAAGTTGTTGCTGATGGTGTCTGGCAACGAATCCGGAAGTATTTTGCGTAAACATTTGTTAATAAACACTTGTATCTTCTGGATGATGGCTTTGGTAGTTCTCCAAGTTTCCGCTCCATACAGTAGTAAAACTGTCTTTCACATTTGTATTGAAAATCCTGATTTTGGTTATTTTGGTTGAAAGTTGAATCGTGTCTTAATTTATTGAAATTTTTTCATGAAAAATGAAAGTATATAACTCAGTTGAATATAATTTTTAAAAAATAATATATATCAGTGAATAATTCATTATCTTTTTTCATTTTCTCTTTCAATGTCATAAAATAAGATTAAAATTAACAAGTGATGATGATGATGATGATGATGATGATGATGATGATGATGATGATGATGATGATGATGATGATGATGATGATGATGATGATGATGATGATGATGATGATGATGATGATGATGATGATGATGATGATGATGATGATGATGATGATGATGATGATGATGATGATGATGATGATGATGATGATGATGATTATGACACAGTTTTTATGTGTGTGTGCCCGCGCATGTGTGTGCGTGTATGTGTCAAAACTCATATAACTAACTTTTCTCTCGGGAAAATCACATGATCATCAATGTTAGTGTAAGTGTACACAAAAAGAGAAAAATACAAAACCTTTTGACAAAAAAGTACACAAATGAATAATGCGCCTGCGCGCGCACGCACACACACACAAACACGTAATTGTTATTTAACGAGGAGGAGTCTATCTCATGTAATGTGAATAGGACACTTTCTCCTTCGATTCACTTCACTCTCTCTCTATCTCTCAGCTTCTTTCTTTGATTCACAAAGAATACTACCATTACTACTACTACTACTACTCACACTGCTACTACTACTACTACTCACACTACTACTACTGCTACTACTACTACTACTACTACTACTACTAATACTACTACTACTACTACTACTACTCACACCGCTACTACTACTACTACCACTACTCACACCGCTACTACTACTACTAATACTACTCACACTACTGCTACTACTACTACTACTACTCACACTACTGCTACTACTACTACTACTACTACTACAGAAGACGTGACCAATGGAGTTCTCCGTTATCGGGTGTAGGCAGTAACTACCAGAGACAAATGGGTGAGTTGGCGCAAAATCCGTAGATCAATCAGAGTTAGATAATAACACTGTTGGATGCCGGCCCACTGGTCTGATGGTTAGGCATTCGTTCACAATATCTAAGGTCCCGGGTTCGAATCCTGGGAGTTGCTTGAGTCGTGGATGCACACTGCCACTGATGAGTAGTCCCATATCAGGACTAAGCAGCCATCCAGCACTTCCAGGTTTCTAATGGTGGTCTAGTAACAATGATTGATTAAGGATTTCAATGTATAATTTGATTTTTATTAAAAACTATCAAAATTTTAAATATTACATTCATCTACATAAGGATATGTACTAAAGTGAATTGACTAACATATCTTGTTTTACATGTAAATAAGACAGTTTTTTTTGTAAAAATTTTAATTCAATTATTAACTTATGAATAGCATAAACACTTTAATTGACCTTTCATCATTAAAAAGTTTAATTACAAATTGTCTAAATTATATAAATATATGTATTACACATTTGAAATCATTAATCAATCATCATTGTTAGACCACCATTAGAAACCTGGAAGCACTGGACGGCCGTTTCGTCCTAGTATGGGACTCCTCAGCAGTGCGCATCCACGACTCCTGCTACTCGCAGCATTCGAACCCGGGACCTTTGGCATTGTAGGCGAACGCCTTACCATCGGACCACTGGGCCGGCATCCAACGGTGTTAATGTCTAACTCTGATTGATCTAGGGATATGTATATTTTATTGAACTAATGAAATGAACTAAATATATTGAATACTGAACTTTTCCAGTCTGACGTGTGAAGAATATAGAGAATGATGTAATAATATGTGTCGATTAGATAACACTTCTGGTAGTACATTGACATGCAGATAGATAGACAGACAGACAGACAGTTGCAACGTAGAACTTTGTACGTATGTACATAAGTTCATGTTGCCATATCACATTAGCAAACAGAGACGCAAATGTCAAATCAATTCCCATAATGATGATGATAGTAGAGGTATTAATGGTATAATGAAGAAGACTATGGTTCGAAAAGATATCATTCAAGAAGTATAATTCAGTAAGTGAGATAAGGTTTGAAAGACAAAGGTAGAGGTGTTGACGAATCCAGAAGATTAGGATTTGAGGTAGCACAACGAATGGATACATTTGCGCGATTGCATGGCACTGAACACACAAAATAAATGACATTTCTAAAATTCACCTAATATGAAACAAACCATTGACAATCAACAATCAACAATGAACTCTATAAGCTCAGAGAACCAAACACCACAACCACCATAATTATCCACCATCTCAAAATCAACTCTATTATAGTCTACTAAATGCTAACCACAGACAGTGCTTGTAATGCAACCTGAAGAAGCCTTATCAATAGATCTCATTCATACTCCTAATGTACTCAATGAAAGGTTCATTGATGGATGAAAAGTTGTTGTTGTTGTTGCTAGGATGAAACAATCATCTAGTTGTGTTACACCTGGTAGCCTGCTTGACTATGATTTAAGTAATCTGTTGCTGAATATCAAAATATTTCATTGAATTACCTGTTTTTTTTATCAGTTTTAACACATTAATTATGTATGTCTGTAAATCGAATAAAATCTATTCTGGCGTACGAGCAATCACTTCATAAAGGGTTCAAATAAAAAGTACAATCTCAAAACATCTACTGAGAAACAAACGAATGTGTATGAGTAGATATCAATAGTTGAAGTGCTTACTTACTGACACTACCAATTACTGATTGTTTTTTGCAAAGGAAACTTGTTCAACTATTATTATTACCTACTGAGGATTTTATATTGTACTACTAAAAATGTAATATTGAATGAAGCCATTATTATTATTATTATTACTTTTATTACTGTTATTATTATGACCATTAGTAGTAGCAGTAGTAGTAGTAGTAGTGTGGTGCGCGTTACTTATAAGTAGTATATGATCTGAGTGTCAACGTAATGTCTGGTAGCAGAAGATGGGGGAAGATCAAGAAAGGAAGAAGAGTGGGAACACAACGGGATTTGTATGAAACGCATGAACAGTGAAGTGTCAGACAATGGATCGATGTTGTTTGCAACAGGAACAGACAATCCAGTTCGATATGATGGATTGATATTTTGCAAAAATAACGATTTACGATATGGTTTTTCTATTTTACTGAGTAAATCTGTAATTTTCGTTAAATACAATTCGATTGCCCTCTCCTGTGTTCTCCTTCACTACATTTGGTGTCGCTGCCTACACAAAGGATGAAGATACCATGGCCGAAGGGATTTGAGGACGGAGATGTGCGGAGCTTCCTGAAGGAGTTTGAGGCCGTGGCGGAGCTGGTGGGTGTGGAGGAGCCGAAGGCGAAGTCGGTGGTGCTGGGGACGCTACTCGGAGGTAAGGCAAAGGCCGTATATGACAGCTTGGACGGTGCTGGCGGGGAGACGACGTGGGAGACGGTCACGGGGCGGTTGATGACAGAGTTCGACAGCCCAGTGGAGAGGGAGGGAGCGCTGCAGAAGTTACGGTTGGCGTGGTTGTCGGCCGATGGGACCCACTGGTGCTGGCTGTGAAGCTTACCAGATTGTTGCGCCGTGCGCTGCCAAATATCGATGAGGAGTCAGAGGCACAGTTGTTGGCGTCGCAATTTATCGAGAGTGTTCCTGCCACCGTATCCCAGCAGCTGAGACTAGTAAACGCAGCGCAACCCATGGATATCGGTGCACTGGCGAAGGTCACTCGTCAGCTGATGACACGACCAATAGCGCGCACCACAGTAGTAGTAGTATTTATCGTAGTAATTCAACTCGTATTCTGTTTATGACGTAAATTATAAAACTTAACCATTGTTTCACCAATCTTTTGCAACGATAAAGTATTAATTTCAAATCGGCAACTTAAATACTCATACACTTTTTGATGACATTTAAACCAAAAATAAAAACATGTTACATACTACTGAATTTCATGAGTAATCACAAACAAACTATAAATTGAACATTGATTCCATTGATGATAGACATAACACATGTATATAAGCACACACACACACACACAAACAGACACGCACAACATGCACAACACTTTCATGTTGACCAACTTCTCTATGTCAAACAACCAACCAAACAAACTCACGAGACAATGTTCAATTGAGAGAGAGAGAGAGAACGAGCTAAAAAAATTTATTCTTGTTTTCAACGCCAGAAGACGAAAAAAATTTTGCCAACAGAAAATTACCTAGATAGATATATATAACGGAAGTACCCGTATTTTCCTAAAAATAACATTTTTTATTAATCGCGCGCACAAAAAAATGTACCGAGTGAAAGGTTTTTTTTAGGTTAGTGAATAGCGAGACACAGAGAGAGAGCGCACGCGCGCGCACGAGAGAGAGAGAGACAATTTAGCATGCATGACACTAGTCGGAGAATAAATAGCTGAAGATTATACAACAACTACTCACTTACTCACTTACTCACTCACTCACTATATTATTGTAGGATGGGGTATCCTGCGTGTTAATTTGTTCTAAAAAGTGTAACAATCTAAAGAATCCGTTTGTGCGTGTATGTGCGTGTGTGTGTGTGTGTGTATTCATTAGTCTCAATAATTACGAAAATAAAGAAACTAGTTGAATGGAACTGTGAAAATTAGACGACAACTTCTCATTCTTCTTCTTTTTAGTCATTCATTCATTCATTCACATGGCTCACATGTTGTGTGTTATTCATGCTTCTTCCTTCATAGACAGACAATATGGTCTATGACAACAAATGCATGCATGCATGCATGCATGTATGTATGCTTGAACAAGCCAATTCGTTCAGCAAGCTAGCTACCTTGTTACAACATGACTTTTTAAAATCCAGTAGAGAGAAAAAAAAATAATTATTCAACCATAATATCTAAAAAAATTTTTTCAAAAACTTAAAAAAAACAGTACAGTACACACCGTCGTGAATGTGACAGTGAATTATATATATATATATATATATATCTCACTGTGTATGTTGAAATGTAAAAGAACGGAGAGAGAGAGAGAGAGGGAGGGAGAGGGAGGAAGTCAAGATGAGCAAGAAGCTGAAAGAGAAAAAAAATAGGCCAGCTAGTAGTGATGGTGCTGGTGGTTGGGCGGGACGGGGCGGGGCGGGGGGTGGTTCTGTAGCGCTCAACGGTATGGCATGCATGCATACATGCTAATGAAAAAAATGCATCAAAAGGAAAACTGGTAACTAAGTCAGTTAGTTAGTTAGTTAGTTAGTTAGTTAAAACACAAACAACACAAATGATCAGTGGTATTCAGAGAGAGAGAGAGAGAGCGAAAAACAGAATCACTGATGAAAAAAGAATTTTTTTTAAAATTTTTATTCATATTAATTAGCGCATTTTTATTTTTTTTTTACATGACTAATATGTAAAATAAAGTAAGTAGATAACTAACTAACCGACTATGAAATGGCGCCTGTGGCATTTCAGTTTTGTGTCAATATGCATGCATGTGCGCATGCGTGTATGCGCGTGTGTGTGTGTGCGTATGTGTGTGTGTCTGCTTGTTATGATGCTCAAACGACAATTGAAGGAAACAAGAATTACTCTTCTGTTGTTTCTGTTTCTTAAACTTGTAACAATTAAACACTATACAACTGACTACTACTATGACTACTATGACTACTACTGTAAATGTTTTCTAAATGAATGAGTCTGTCTACTATTTCTTTTTTTTCTGTTACTGCTAAATAAAAAATATGTAAGATGCTAACCGTTCATCATCATCATCATCATTAGTAAAACCCCTAATGATGATAAGACAATGTGACAACAATATTATGATAAGCGTTTTGAAATGATCATCATAAAAAAACAATGTTTTTTCTCTAAAAAACAGAAAAAAATTGAGTTATTTCAAAGTCTCTTTGTTGTTGTTGTTGAGTCTTATGTCTCTTTTTTTTCGCCGTCAGTTTCTCTATTTTTTTCTCTAAATAAAA